ATTGAACACAAGGGTCAAATTTATTTTGGGGGAAATGATGACAAAAGTCGGCACTTATAATTTCAAAGATGAGAATTAAGTATTCAAATATCTGCAAAGGCATTCAAAATTTTAAGCAGACCATGTTTATGTTTAAAGATTTAAGTTCTAATATCGATTTTTGAAGTTTTGGGTGAAAATATGATTTTTGAAATAACAAAAATTGCAAATAAAAAAAAATCGCGTATTTGCCTTAAATCAATGGTTTTGATAAAAAAAATAACACTCTGTAAATATTAGACCAATTGGGCAATTATTTACCTTGGTACAGTGTATCCAATTTCATTATATATGGAAAATACTTTGCCTTGTATCGTTTCTTTTGTTGACTAGTATATATTTGAATTCTGATGTACAGTTAATCTTCAACATGTTAATTACAAATTAAGAAATTGTCCACCTTTTACTATGTTTACATTACAACACATGCTTATGTTAACACATCTGTAAAACATCTAGTTTTGATTAGGTGTAATTGGAAAACTGTATGTTTCGTGTAAATATTGTGACTTTTTTTCTCTCGAGAAACTGAAAAAAGGTGTTTCTAAAACATAGATGTCGAATAGGATAATTACCTTTCATTCTATTGCAGCCAAACTCATATTTCACATACAGTTACAAGCTTTAGAAAGCCATAGGCGTTGGTACTGTACAAACTATTAACTATTGCATATTTGATATTTTTATAAATTGATTGATTGGAGTTTGGTGATTAACGCTAGCTTCGGCACTATTGGCTTTTCCGTGGCGGCCATTTGTTATTGGTGATGGAAGCCTGGTGCCTGGAGAGAACCATCGACCTTGTGCAGGAAATATAGCAATCCTAGTCAATTAAGATTAAGCCATACGCAGGGTACGAACTCACAACATCAGGCTAGTGATAAAGTAGATTCACATTCTAAATTGAAATATCTGGATTTATTTGCGCAATATCGTTATATTTTTCTGCCCGGTGTTCTAGTATGGAAGCTTTATAAAAATAAGGAGATTAAGGGCCGTATACGTCAATGATATGAAACAGCAACACATCAACAAAACTGTAATTAACCTTCTTGGATATTTTAAAACGCTTTTTCTAAATCATTAGTTTTTATATATATGTGTATGCCATGGTTGTCTTTGCTATTTGTTTTGTCTATACGTGTTTTTTATGTGGATTTCGTATTACAGCTATCGTTTTTAGGGGAATTCACGGTGTGTCATTTCTACTTCAATATTATCAATTTCCTCTTACTGGAGTTGGCAATGCGACAGAAGAGAAAGATGCAGGGGGCTCTTTTCCCATAATCTCTTACCACTAACATTGATTGTAAGGTACATTGAAATGTTCTAAACTTACGAGTATTTTTATCTCTTTAGAATTTTGGTGAACTGATTCGCTGAATAGGATGTTGAACTTTTAATACAATTCTGTGCATTGTGTTTCTAAAAAATTGCATGAGCAACGTTGGATACTTGGAAGTCTAGGGCTCTTCATTTGATTTATTTTGATTTAGCTTTCAAATTGGATCATTTATCATACTTTTATTGATAAAATCAATTTGATTAAACAATTGATCGTATGTTCATGATTTGCTTACAAACCAAATGTGATCGCATAATTTGTATTTAATTTATCAAATTGTTAAATAAAATCGATGTGAAGCAAAGTCCTTAACATCTTTGCATTCACATAAAAAGAATTGTGCCATTTTCTACATAAGGAAATGCATATGACAGTTGTTTTCAATTCGTTTGATGTGTTTGAGCTTTTGATTTTGCCATTTGATAAGGGACTCTCGGTTTTGAATTTTCCTTGGAGTTCGGTGTTTTTGTTATTTTACTTTTTAGGTTATTTTACAGGGGAGTTCTGTGTACGTTTAATTCAGACACATAGAACAAGGCACATGACATGTTCCTTTGTTTTTTAACTGAGTTTCTAGATTAAGACAATTGTACACACGGTCTAGACGCGGAGACCGGGGTTTCAGGTCAAAGCACTCCATCAAGGTCAGAGCACTGTAATCGAGGTCAGTACTCTAAGACATATGACACACTGAATTAGATCTTGTGGAAATTCAATAAACAGTCAATAAGAAACCTTAATTTCTTTCACATATTAAGATAATGAATCTTTGAATAAACAAATCACTTATTCGAGTGTTACATTATAACAAGAAATTATCCTTCGAAGACATTAAACATGTCATTGCATCGACTCCTTGCATAATGCCCTCGGAGTTTTTCTTTTACATGTTATTAGGTTTTAAAAGCAAAACATTACGTAAATCTGAAATACGTCTGATTTATTAGTTAGCAATGTATTGCTAAACCTCATAATGTCTAGGTCTTTTACCCTCCAACCGTTATTTTACTACACAAAAACTATCCGGTGTACATATAACAAGAAGATGTGGTATGATTGCCAATGAGACAACTCTCCACAAGAAACTAAATGACACAGAAATTAACAACTATAGGTCACCGTACAGCTTTCAACACATGTACGGCACACATTGGCTTTTCGTAAATAGTATTGGCATGTCGTGTCCTGGTATCCTTTTATTATGAACGGTTATATTCAAATTGTTATTTACTCAATATTAGTGTCCTCCTCGCGATACGTATGAATAAAGGGAGATATTTGGTATGCGTCAAGGATACAGCATTCTAACGACACAAATAATCTACAAGACATCTAAAGGGCAACTGATCATAGTGGTACACAATGTGACGGTCAAGTTCTAAATCGACTCAAGTTATGAATATATTTATCAGAAATAATCCATACTTAATATCTCAGACTAACAACAACACCAAAATTATCCATTTAGTCTAAATCAAATATCGACACCTTTTAAAACCAAAGAAAACAACTGAAATTGCGGGATAAAAATATACTTATATAACTGTGAAATGATATGTGGATCTGTATACTTGCGACGACACAGGAGAAAAGCTCGTGAGTATTGTTTTTCTTCCTGTCTTTAAAGCTCAATCAAATTAGTTCACTATTTTCACAACAATGCACGTATATTATATATGTACTGCTCAAAGAAGTTGACTTTAAGTCATGTTTCAGCCATATACACGCATGCATGTTGCTTATCGTAGACATGGCATTAAAACACAGTGATACCAGAATTTGAAATTTTCATTTTTTTTTCATACACTGAAAAATAAGCCAAAATTCTGAGATTACCAGAAAATCAATGCAAGGGAGCTACCATTTGATTTTTATGGGAAGGGGGGGGGGGGGGGGGGGGGGGGGGGGGGGCTAGGATGAAATTTAAAAAAAATAGGCAGGACAGGTGTTTTGAGTAAAAAAAAAAAAGGCAGGATGAGACACTTGCAAAAAAAAAGTCAGGATGACAATTTAGGGAAAAAAAAGTCAGTATAAACTTTTAAAAAAAAAGGCAGGACCGAATAGAGTGAAAAATAAAAAGGCAGGACAGAGATTACAACTAAAAAAAATGCAGGAAAAAAAATTTCTTCCTCATAAAAATCAAATGATAGCTCCCTAAACGTGGGGGAAAGGTGCCAACTACGCGTGATTGGTATTTGGCAAAACCTTTCGGATTTGTGGTTCCTCAATGTTCTTCAAATTCGTACTTTATTTGGCCTTTCTAACTTTTTGATTCGAGCGTTTATGATGAGTCTTTTGTAGACGAAACGCGCGTCTGGCGTATCTATGATACGCTTACTGTAGTAAGAAAATGAACTTTCTATGCCATATGGTATTTTCAATTGCGGTAAAAATAGTGGAAACTATAAATCGACAAAATTTCAACACTGATATGTCATATGATATATAATATTTAACACCCTTATGGACTATGACATGTATAATATGAAATAATAATATTTGATATCAATGTTCCTTAAAACACCCAAACATGTACCAAATAACATTTCATACGTATACTTGCATTGTTCAAATATTTTCCTTTTGAGTGAAACAGTACAATACCACCCGTACCTCTTTGTAAACACAATCGTATAACTCAAAACGTAGCTAAAATAAATGCGAAAAAAATCTCTCTTTTGTTTGGTAGTGCAGTACGCATTAGGTGATTCAGTGGAAAACCACTCTAAATGTATGCGAGGAGTTTTCAAGGTGAATGCTGGTGAGTGAATTGGAAGGAGAATCACTATGAAATATCTCTGGTACATTCTTTATATACGATATCACATGGTCCAAATCTAAGTGTTATCATCTCCAATCACTAACAATCTCCCGGTTTCACCGTGAATCACTGAGCACCATCAATGAGTGATTTTTGAGTGAATTGTTCTGTGTATACTTATTGCTGCTTGTCTAGCTTATTGCATTGTTTTATACACATAAACAGTTATTCTGCTATTTAACAAAATGTATCTTTTTACCCAAAATGTATTTTTGATGATGAATTCAAAGCTTTAAACTCAGAGTCGACCGTGCAATATAATTCTGCGGCAAGTTACCACTTTTCTAGGGAGTTAACTTTGATTACAGTTGTCGACGAAGTCTGAGCAGTGTTTTTTGGACTGGTGTTTGTGTCGTCAGTTCATTTTGCCATCAACCTCGTATTTTCTGTTTCTATTCTTTAACAATCCCTAAACTAACGTTTCTGTCCGGAAAGAACTTCTTTTGATATCACAAAGTGATCAAACATCCTCGTTCTCCAGTGAGAGATTGTTTTCTCATACCCTTTTCGAAGACTTCTTTTTGAATACAAATCAGTCATCACTTTCTTTCGCTCGACATTTATGAAATAATGTATATTAGGCGCAGCTAGACATTAATGAAACAGTGTCTATCAGGCGCAACAAACCAACCATTATCAGACATTTTGTGTAATATCAGACAAACAACACTATGTGCAAGGAATACAAACAGACTTTAAAACTATAACAGGTGCAAGGAATACAAACAGACTTTAAAACTATAACAAGTGCAAGGAATACAAACAGACTTTTAAACTACAACTTTTTTCTTGTAGGGTGAAACCAGTTTTAGACAGATACGAGTCAGCATTGCTTATGTTACTAGGATTTGGTGGTTTTTCGATCATCCTTGCCTTGTTTCACAATGCCGTTCGGAAGCATATATTCCACGATGAACACAATCTGGACACAACGTTTGATGCCGGCGGAAACGTCAGTCTTAGTTTAACAGCAGTTACTGTTGCTTCCCAACTGTTTTGGCCAGGTGACATTCTACACAGTGCCACCCTGACGACTAAGGTAAAGTATCAGACTAGCTAATCGAAAGTTGACGCTCTTCTTGGAAACAGGTTGGAATAATGTGTATCTAGTTTGAGCACGTCATTGGTGGAAGGATAGTGTATCTTTGAATAGAATGGTAGTCCCTGGAGAAGGACTTTTGCTACCGATGAGTCAAAACTTGCTTTTAGTTTGTTTTTTTTTTTAAATCAATGAACATCATTTATCAGAGGCAGATTTGGGAAGGATGGGGTGGGATGGGCAGGCCCCTTTTGTGGGAAAAATTTGGTTGATTATTTTGGTCATCACTGAAGCATGACTGGAGCGGGCCCTCTCTTAGGCAGTCAGTGACCCCCCACCCCCTCTCCCTCCCCTCCCCTTTTATGAAGATTTACTGCCACTGTTTATTATAAACTACTAGTGTACTAATGTCATAGTAACATGTATTTCATGTCTGCAAGGTCTGTAGATAGATATAGGAAGATGTGGTATGAGTGCCAATGAGACAACTCTCCATCCAAGTTACAATTTATAAAAGTAAACCATTATAGGTCAAGGTACGGCCTTCAACATGGAGCATTGGCTCACACCGAACAGCAAGTTATAAAGGGCCCCAAAAAATTCCTAGTGTAGAACCATTCAAACGGAAAAACCAACGGTCTAATCTATATAGAAACGAGAAACATGTATGAACTACATAAACAGACGACAACTACTGTAATCAGATAGTGAGTGTATCTTCTCTATTACATAGTCTTCAATTTAGACATGATTTTTTATGTTCATATATGATTCTGTAGTCCATAGGCTTTCCAAGGTTTTCAGAAACGTACATAACACATTTACAGCACTTTTATATTTTCCATCTAGATATTTCAATTTTTCAAGTTAATGGTTTTTCAATAACCAAATCCTTGATTAAGATTTTATATTTAAAAGTAAAAATTGAACTTTGTAATACCTTTCATACAAGAAAAATACTATAATAGTTTAAAAGTAAAAACTCATAAGATTTTTAATAAAATAAAATAGTGTATTTTGAATATCAGCAACGCATATTTTTAAGCAAAATGTCAAAAAAAGTGTTTTCAACTGTTGCAAACAATAAAAACTGAGCTCTGGTAACGTCTTCAATACATTCCTCCACCGATGATTGGCGAATACATCATGCACGAGGGTCTGAATGGGTTTTACAGAATAGAGAATAATGTAAAAAAAGTGCAGAATAAATAACAAGAAAAATAAGTATAGAGAAAAATAAGACACACACAATAAAGAATATAGAAAAATGGGGTGCTAAAATATAAAGAATAGAGAAACATGGCAGATAGAATAAAGAATACAGAAATGACAGAATCTCTCATCCAGACCCCATCCATCATGTCGTATTATATCCCGCACTGAATCAATAAAGAAAATATATCATTTGTCACAGTCAAGGGTCATAATTAGAGCGATAGTTAAATAACACTTAAAATGATTGGTTATGCGAGATGTTGATTGGTAGCCGTGGCCCGTTAGTTGATCTCGAACTCTGCATAGACACAAAATAATTTTGTCGTAATTGGTACCTCAAGTTAATAAGCTTATCGTAAGGAAACAATATCGAAACTGAGGATTTGCTGAACAATTCAATTAGCAAGTTTTGTCACTGATAAAAATATAAAGAATAAATATTGTCTTACAAAGAAGAGTAGATAACAACTGAAGACTCTTTAAGACTTTCAGATTCCACTTTTTTCAACTTAACGTCAAAATGTTTTCACATAGATGACATCTCGCGTGAACGGGATGGGAAAACATGTGATTATTTATTGACGGCAAACATACTTGATGTCTAATTAATTTATCTGGAATTCTTATAAATGTTTCCATTAAGTATTTGATCTGATCTCGTAATTTATCTTTTCTGCATTCGAAAAATGGAATTTATAAACAAAAACAAAAGCAGTGAAATCGAAAATAGGCGCTAGGTTCTTAAGAATGAAATGTTTCACTTTGTTTTTTTTTTTACCGGTAAATCCCTCTGGATGTATTAATTATTCATTCATCCTACAAAAAAAAAGACATGTCATATTTTAAAAATCACAATTGTCCCACCTTCCTGTATAAAACAAGACTGTTTATTATGAATAAATCCAGTGAGTTAAAATGGGGATTTGTAGGCGTCATTCATCTTAGCTTCAAATACTTTCAAGTAGCCTTTAAAATACAAACATTAATGCAAGAGTGGATCCTTAAAATATTCGGTTATTATTTTTGTTGTTTGTTTTGTTTTGCCTATGAGACCTTTTATAGATTTGTGGTCACGAGTATTTGCTCCTGTTGAAGTTACTTCCAGAAACATGTATTATGGACACGAACATTATCATGAATATATATAAAAATATGTTTTTATATAACTGTAATGAGTTTATTTTTTTTACAAAGCAGATATATTTAATATGAACGTTCATTTCAACAATTCTAACCCGTTATTTTAATAAGTCTTCCGAACATTTTGCTTACATTTACAGAATAGATCTATATCATATTTCTCAATCAAATATTAGTTTTAAGTGTATGTAAGACGTCATATTAATACATCTGTGAATATATCCACAATATAAATGTCTTACGAATTAGAGTAAGCCTAATTTAGAATTACAATCAAATTAAAATTTGTCATTTAACCACTGACAGTTCATAACTTTGTTGTACCAAGTTAAACTAGATGAGATTTCAGATATATTCGGAATATACAAAATTTCAAAATGATAATTGGAAATAAGTTTCAGATTATGATATTGTTCTTATCCGCTCTAGAAATTCAACTGTGACAAGACATACTTAACAGCAGTATATAGCGCTGAATGCCATGTGCAACTTGATGTTATGAATATAATAAATTATTATGAAAAATTGTTGAAAATCCTGTACTCATACAGTATAAATCTATTTTTTTTTTAAATTCCACTAGGTTTCGTTAAAAACATGTTTGAAATTATAACATTGTCCTTATCTCTAGAATGTGATAATGTCAACCGATGCAACATACTAGTATGAACATTAACACCACTTAAAACTAATGTATACTCATACATGTACAGTATAATTCAAACTATTTTCCTTCAAATTTCCACTAGGTTTCGTCAACTTTCCGATTTGAACCCCTTGGTCAAAACAATTTCAGGAGAAATATGCCGTACATCTTTAGCTGCCGGCAAAAAGTTTGTAGCAATATTGAATATACAAACACGGAAATTTATAGTCAGTATAAATTAAATTGATATTGTTTTTTTTAATTTGATAGACGTGAAATATATTATATATGTAAGTTTATACATGCAATGCTTGCATGTGGGATGATGCTCAGATTCAGGACTCGATTAAACCTTTCATGAAATTAATGAGGTTTTTGCTTGTTGACTTTAATAACAAATTATTACGCGGGTGCACTTATTAATACACCTTCCTCATACAGTTTAATTTGAAATTGTACTATCAATTTAATTTACTTCATTACACAAGGTCAATACCAGCGTACCGAAAACTGATTAATCCAATAAATATAGAACTTAGCTTAATAACTAATCTTATTACGTTCATAATTTGAAAGGATGGAATGTGAAAGCAACAAGATTTCAAAATAATATCCCCATCTTTATCTTTAAAGTGCAACATATGCTAATCTCAACCGATGCAACATATTATAATGAATATTGACAACACTTAACATAATTTGCAGAGACCTTTTCATTAATTCCATCATCAGGTGTTTTTATTAATAAGTATTAGATTATTTTTAATAATTCAATTTTATTTTAATCCTACACCGTGTTGAAAAATACCATTGAATATATATTATAATGATTAGAGTATAGATACTACAGATCATACATCGAACATCCCGTTCCAATTTAGTTTTGGTTCAATGTATTTTTTTTCTCGTCCTAAACATGCATGACATATTTGCCACTGGACGTTAAGCTACCGACAATCAATCAATCCATGTAATTTACCATTAAGTCATGGAAATCAATCGTAGAAGGTCGTAAAGTCGGGGGTATGTGCACGGATGAATGGGAAATAAAATGGCAATATCTCGATGAACGCAAAATAATTAGCTACCACGTTGATGTTTTTATCAATGTGCACAAAACACGGTGAAAATTGAATTTTAAGCACGAAAAAAAATGAACTAAATTTGAAAATACATTGCAAGAAAATAAACTTTTACCAACCGCTTAGTACACATTCTTATTCTTTTTTTGGGGGAATTCTTAAAATATAGGGTTTTGACCAAGATTTGGCGTTCCAACGAACATGGAAATGTGATAGTGCGTGCAGGGCATGGCATTCTGTGGACACATATTATTGTTAAAAATATCCCATAGACTACAAAAAAGGTCGGCGGAAGGGCATTTACCATGTAATGAGTGAATAGGGATGAGTCTGTTTGAATAGGCTACTATTTCAAGCTTCATTGTATATATGGTAAGTTCACGAATTTAAGATGAAATATATATAATATAAACATATGGCGATGTGGTATGATTGTCCAAGAGGCAACTATCCACCAAAGTTAAAAAGAAAGTGGATGTAAGCAATTAAAGGCAACCGTACAGCCTTCAACAATGAGAAAAAGGTTGCCAATTTTGAATTTCTCTCCATAAAATACATGTAGCGTAGTTATAACAGCTATAGGACTGGTATATTTTTATCCAAAAGATATAAGATCGGGTATATATTTTTGTTACTCGCTCGTAGGATATTGGATGTATCATCTGTCAACTCCGACCAAAAAGGATTGTATTGCCCCCTCCAGAAATAAGTGCACACGACAAACTACATAAAATTGGTCTGGCGTGCCTAAGCGGTTTTAAATTGAAATGGTAGAAACCAAGGGTTTCCGATTTGCCGAAAAGAAAAACAACAAAACAAAAACAAAATTGTGGCGAAATTTTATTTAGAAAGAAATCTAACGGTTCGACGTCGTCCATTTTTATGCCCCCGTCGTCCCGTATGGGGCACTAAGTGTTACCTTTGTCCGTCTGTCCGTCCGTCCATCTGTACGCCCTAAAGTTGGTTTCCGTTCTCTAACTTCAGTTTGCCTCAACAAAATGTTATGAAACTTATACACAATATTATGCTTATTATCACAAGATACAGATCAAGTTCGAATGTGGGTGGCGTCCCTTTTACCGTTCTCGAGATATGTCCCTTTATAACGTTATATGCAAGCGGCGGCATCATCTGTGTCAGATGGACGCATTCTCCATTTATTGTTTATTTTTAGGCTTATCTGAATCAACACTAATGCGATGTTTTTTCTCTCTTTTATTTCAGAATGGGATAGCTGGTCCGTTTTGGTATGCAGTTGGAATAATGATAAACATTTTCATATTTCCAATATTTTCTGTCCAGTTTAAAACAAGAGCACCAGGTGCTAAAACTTATTTACAGGTATAGAACTTAATGCTCTAGTATACCTAGATTGTACTGTCTTTTTTGTTATTTCGTAGACCACACCCCTAATGACTCATACAACTTGTAGCTGTTTGTCTCAAAGACAGGCTTTCCCGTGAAAAAAAAGTTTAAGGGTCGCAGATTTACAAAAAGCAAATAGGTCCTACATTTTGATTTTTACAAAATTGTGCATAAGATTTGACAAATAACTACAGATCTGCTCACTGCTGAGATCTTGAACAACTCCCGCAATAAAAAACATCCCCCGTTAAAAAAAAAACAAAAAAAAAACAATGAAGACTGAATAAGCTTCCTATATATTAACGCTGTTTTCAATACCTGCACTTTTCGTTTGCAGACTATTTATGAACCTGATCAACGAAGTATCATCAAACCTGGATCATAAATATGTAATTGATAACATAGAAAAATAGATAAAAACATAACCAGATTAGCTAATTTTATACACAAACACATTAATTTTTATATAAAATTGAATAAAATCTATTATCTCAGTTACTCAGTCTACAACAAGAAATAAATTCTGGAAAAGCTATTAATTGTATAATATTTAATGTAGTGATTTGATTAAATTAGTATTTTAACCCAGCAAGCAATAACATTATTACTGAAACATAAACATGTACTTTGTCAGTAGCTATAATAGCAAAAACAGTTTGATCTAATGTGTATTATACAAATTGAAACAAACATGTACACATATCAATAAAATATTTGTTACAGTGAAATTTTTTGTTTAGAATTTTTATAAATGTATGTATTCAAAATATAAGATCATGATGATGGATGGCTGCTTAGCGTCCAGCGGCAAATTGATATGCATATTCAGGACAAGAAGATGTTAATGTAATATGAATATTAACCCTGCTTTGTACCAGACCGACACGCTGAGCCGGATGTTTAAAGTGCTAGTTCACAAGGTAACAGTCCGCAGGAAGACATGTCACCTTATCCAGACACAATATTCTGACTCCGAACCAACCACTCTTTGCTCTTACTCTCTAATGTCGCGTGCTTAGCGGAGAAGCAGCAAATATTAAAATTAAAGTCTTTGATTTGACCAGGTCGGGGTTCGAACCCAAGACCTCCCGCACTCGAGGCAAGCACGCTACCACGAGACGGTTCGAAATATAAGACATTGCGTTCTTAAACTATATAGTTGTATAATGCATTGTATACCTTTTGTTCAAATAACAAGCACGAATGCACATCATGGACGTTCAAGTAACAAGGACGAATGCACAGCACGGACGTTCAAATAACAAAGACGAATGCACAGCACGGACGTTCAAATAACAAGGACGAATGCACAGCACGGACGTTTAATTAACAAGGACGAATGCACATCATGGACGTTCAAATAACAAGGACGAATGCACATCATGGACGTTCGAATAACAAGGACGAATGCACATCATGGACGTTCGAATAACAAGGACGCATCCACATCATGAACGTTCAAGTTACAAGGACGAATGCACATCATGGACGTTCGAATCGACTGGCACATGCATTTAAATAAATTATGAATGCATAAAGAAAGATATGGGTTATAGTTCTTGAAACAAAAACCCTATGACACACATAATCAAATATTGTGACCGTTAATTAATAAATGTAGTTATTGTACAGCAAGTTTGGTTTCAAATTTCTTTTAAACGAGTACAACTAGTAAGACCGGACAAATTTCTAGAGTTTCTTACTTACATTTGTATTTTTAAACGCATTGTATTCAATTCAAACCCGGTTAATTTCATATAATTTATCAAGTACAATTTTGAGCTACAATACTGTTATATCTTCGTCTGTCTTTTCAATTAAAATCATTACATGTATCCTATTTATTATAATTATATTGTCATACACTTTCCTTTATTTTCAGATTATCCATGCACGATTTGGCAAATCGGCACATGCTCTGTTTTGCGTTTTTGCCCTTGTGACAAACCTTGTAATCATGATAGGCCTACTTTTGGCGGGTCGGGCAACTATACAGTCACTGACTAGAGATGCTTCCGATGAATTTTGTTTATTCGTAATGGCGATACTTTTTGGTTCTTACTCGCTCATTGGTGGAATAGGCACGACGTTTTACGTTTCATACTTCAACGCGTGCCTCGTTTTCATTCTGTTAATTGTATTTGTCATCAAAATATTACACAATTCAGACTCCGAATTTGCATCTATAGGAGACATTTCACGCATGTACAAATCAATTTCGTGCGTAGAAGGTCCCGTTGAGAACGAAAACCACAGTTATCTGACATTCAGATCAGGTGTGGCATTTTTATATGGCGTCATTGAAGTATTTGTGTCGTCTGCTGTGACGTATTGTGACCAAGCATCATGGCAGAGTAGAATAGCAGCGAAACCAGTTCAAGGAGTATGGGGATTTTTACTGGCTGGTTTCATCTGGTTCTCTATTCCATCCACTATGGCAACAACGACTGGTATGGCTTATATAGCTCTCAGTGCAGAAAATGGGACGCATTACTTGAGTGCTGGTCAGATAGACGAAGGTTAGTTCTTTAATTCCATCGTCTTTTTTGCACGTTAACAGCGAGAGTTACATAATAATCTAATTTGGTATTGATGATATTCCTTTGATATTATTTAAACGTGATTAAATTTAGGGATCAATAATAGTTTGACAAATGACTGACCTTCAAAACGGTACATTGTCCTTCAGATGTCATTTTCTAGTATGATTTATGTTTGATTGTTGTTCATTGGTGTTAGCGCAAATAATCCAATAAATACTTCTTATAACAATTGTTAGAAATCCGACTGGTTTATAAAATAATCTAGATGAATCGAAATCTAAGTTATAAGTATAGTTACAAACTTCAACAGAAAAATTATTGTTGTAATCATATATTTATATAGCAACCATGTTTAACTCCGCCTGTCCAAAGTCAGAAGCCTGTTATTCAGTGGTTTTCGTTTGTTGCTGTATACCATATTTTTTTTTCGATTCTTGTTTTGTGCATAATTCATGCCATTAGATTTTTCGTTTGAATTGTTTTACATTTGTCATTTCATGGCCTTTTATAGCTTGCTATGCGGTACGGATTTGCTCATTGGTGTCGACCGTACCGGTGACCTATAATTTCTAGTCTTCTGTGTCATTAGATCTTTGATGGAGAGTTGTCTCATTGGCAGTCATACCACATCTTCTTATTCTTCTATTACAAATATTCTTAGATGTGTGATCTACAGTTTTTTTCATTCTAAAAGCAAAAATATCCCTCCAATTTAAAAAAAAAATAGATTATAGACCAGGGTCAGTTGAGTCAATGCGCCATATTAGATCACGTAATCGCTAAAAAAAAAGACCAGGATGTAAGTATAAAAGTATGAATTCGGTGCAATCGGAAAAATCAACATTTATAGTAAACCGTAAATGTATGCTTAAGGTTGACTACAGCATAATATAAATTTAAGATCTGTATAAAATTTATCATCCTGTTCTAATAACCACCATATAGGATACTAACATCAACCACTTCAGAAGCTATATTGTACGGGAACTAATGTTTCACGGTAGTTGCATGGAAAGCTGTCGAGATGGATCGGTTGTCTATGATTCCAGTTCAGATACATATGTAACAAGTGCAAAGTGCATTTTGAGTAGCTGTTTAACCCCGCCGCATTTTTGCACCTGTCCCAAGTCAGGAACCTTTGGCTTTTGTTAGTCTTGTACGTTTTTTTTTTAATTTTGGTTCATTTATATGTTGCTGAGTTTAGTGTTACGTCAATTTTCGCTGAACTAATATACATTATTATTTAGGGGCCAGCTGAAGCTCGCCTCCTGGTGCGGAATTTTCTCGCTGCGTTGAGGACCCGTTGATGGCCTTGTGGTGTTTTCTGCTCTGGTCGGGATGTTGTCTCTTTGAGACATTCCCCGATCTCATTCTCAATTTTATAGATTACAATGGCGTCTGATGGCCTTTTTAAGACTTGCTTTGGCCCATATAAATTAGAAGTTTCAATAAGACCGGCGGACGTCTGGGCAATATGAGACTGATCTTGAAAAGCGAAGACTTGAATAAGCGAAATAATTTGTTTCCATTTTACCGAAGATTATGTTAACTTACGAGCGTTCTGTACTGTAGTGAAAGTTCATTGAATTGTAGAATAATTAACAGTGTCTTATTAGTGTAACGACATTTCTGAAAGTTATTATCCTCCCACATATTTGCATTTTTATTGTTCGAAAACAACTACTTTAATGTTAAATTGTGCAAAGTACAGGCATTAAAGTGTTCCAATTATGAGTTTGAAATATAAATAGCAGCGTTCTCGCACTCTTGTGTTCTAATTTATTGTCTGATGGTTGTTAAACGGATGATAAAAAAAGCTTTCCGTAGAAATTAAAACCGGCACATTCCATTCAACGTTGATTAAATTATATTGTTGATCAACATGCTTACAAACACATTTCCATATATTGTAGTTAAGTGTTCATTAAGGCCAAAATAAAAAAGATACTTGCTTCCTGTCTCCTTGCCGAAAAAATAGTAGGCAGATAGGTAAACTTGTTTTAACAGTGCTTAATTAAAAAAAATGGCAATGTGTTACGGTAGGCATGGACATTTTGGGTCAGTAGGGAGGCAGGAAGAACGGTAATATGTTTTTATTATAAGGAACTTGATATTTTTCAATAGAAAGAACGATGAGAAAGGAAACCATCTAAATAGTGTTGATGTTTTGTTCTCAAATTGTACAAACGGATTGTATTGCGGTTATTACCATAGAATGGAAAAGATGTTAAGACGGGGAACAAAAGGGGAAATAATTTTGAATGTAGACAGTTGAAATTAAATATGAAAACCTGTAGTCTCGCCGTCGGTCCCATAATGATGCTACTCTTGATTAATGATATTGGAGGGGTCTTTTTGTATGTTGAAGCATAGCAATCTCCTAATATTGGACATTCATTACCTTCATTTCGAAGTAAAGTTTTTGAATTTGTAATCTATTTGTACGTATCACTTATTCGGATAATCTTAATCATATTGCCATACTACAGGGGAAGATCTCCATTTGTACGTACTATTTAAATATGACCTTTACAGATACAACATTTAGAACAACTTCATTCTAGATTACAACTGCTAAAATATAGAACACACTAAAATATATACATGTAACATATTACACCCTAACGGCATATTGACTTACATTTGTAGGCTATTTAGTAAGCTTATCATGTCCCCATTTTTAATCGAAAAATAAAATGCCGTCTTCCTACATCATTAATACGATTAGGTTGATAGTTGTTTTACCAATCTGTTGAATATAAACTATTTTCAATCATGAACGCAATGTATTTTGCAACGAACTGGTAACATGCAGATCTAGAGAATATGACGAAAAAATTAAATAAAATTTCTTAATTTGACGGAGATATTGGGAACATATCAATTAAACATCAGGGGCCTCGTTGGCCGAGTGGTCTAAGCAGTTTCTTTTTTCAAGTAAATAATGGTAGAATGTGCTGAATGGTAGTTGTGTAAATGAGATAGCCTGATAGTTTGTATACAAACTATATGTTTTCCATAAAAGATTGTAGAATATTGTAGATAATAATATGTGCAATAAATTTTATTCGACATAAATTAGTTTATCAAGAGAAAAAATGTAGTCGAGCTACTGTATCCCTAGCCTGCCAACACTTAGGTTGTGAGTTTGAATTCCACTCGTGGCAGCTGCGCTCGACTCCAATCTTAATTGACTAGGATTGTCAGTTTTCCTGCCGGAGGTCGGTGGTTCTCTCCGGCTTAATCCACAAATAAAAACTGACCGCCAAGAAATAGCACGATAGTGCTGAAAGTGGCGTTAAACACCAATCAGTCAATGAAACATCAATCCAAGGGGTCAATTAATAAAAGTCAGCAAACAAGTCAACAAGCTCTACTCTACAATAAACGGATATCTTTGCATTATTTCAATACAAAAATAAATAGCACCGAATTTATAAAAAAATGTGAATGTCATTTAATTTTGTAAAATGTGTCTCAAATTTACTGAATATAGCACTTTATAGATTTAGGATGTTCGCTACTCTGTTTTAAAATAACAAGCTTTTTAAAAGACTGTTATGAATTGATAGTACATAAATAAAGGAACTAAAAAAGCAGAAAAAAATGAAGGGTCCGTGTGCTTGTTTTCGAGATATAAGCCATTGAATATTTGGCGGGAAATAATTCTCTATAGATTTTTCATACATTTTACATTGGCACCCTTTTTCTTTAGAAAATTATGAAAAAATAACAGCATTTTCAAATATGGCTTTTTAAACTATATGTATTAAAATTATGAAAAAAAAAGTAGAGGTTATTGAGAGAAATTTTTTAATGGTACTACATTTTTGTACATGGATAAAACCAGAGGATTCCGAATATCTGCCAAAAGTTCAAAAGCAAGAGGAGCGAACATCCTTAAGTGCGTCCGAAGCCCTTTACTGGATTGTATTCGTCAGGAACGCTCAAACTTGAATGCTTGAAAGCCTTGGCTGATATGCATAAAACTACTAAGTTAAAATTTGTTCCGAACGTACGGATTTTTCTACATATCCTACGGTAAATTAGAACTACGATTGGATATCTTAACTTGAGTGGTTTTATGCATATCAGCCCAGGGATGTATAAATACGTAGAAACATTAAGAGCTATATATGAATCAAATTGAAACTTTATATGCTATTTTGGTTTATATGCAAATCTCATACCAGAAAGGAGAAAATTGTATAAAAAAAATGTTTGTTCTTTAAAAGAAACACTGTTCGTTAGTAACTTTTCTTTTATTTTTGATCATCAAATTCCTAGTTGTGAACGATACTGCATATACATTAATTTAGATACTTATCAATCTATATGTGATAAACAAAACAGAAGAGACATTTAACGATTCTCAATTGAGTTTAATTGCCTCCAAAGTACGAGTTCACAACCAGTATCCTAACTGTTGTTTCTATTCGTTTTAGTGCGTTCTGATTTAAAATTTATGAGAAAAAAATACAACAATATTAACACTAAATGGACAGCAAACAAATCTAAAATGTCAGTGTTTAATCTAAGTGTTTTTATCACGCAATTTATAATTAACTGTACGAATTGACTCAATTTTATTTGTTTTTTTTCTATCCGTGTCACAAAATTAACACATTAATTTTTAAATCCCATCTTTTTACATCGTGTTCGAAAATACCGTTGGTATTTTTTTTTTTTTTACTATATCAGAGACCAAAAAGTGTAGTATAGGTTTTTCTTTTCATTATAAAGTTAAAATTGACAAGTTACTGTAATATTGATTGACAGATGTTCTATCGAATTTGATTCCGCGTAGAACACACTGGAACACACGTGAAACATTTATGTAACACCTATGAAACAACAATTACTGCAATCAATATAGAACGTCCTAAGATCTAACCCAGAAACTAGTATCATATAAGTACAATTTTCTAATGCTTATCTTAAGATGGACAATGAACATTCAGTGATTATAATTATACTGTTTGTATGGTTATAATTAAATTGTTTGTATTCTATCTATCACTAAAATTGAATGGGGGAGATAAAAAAAAAATATTAAAAGAGGGAAAAATGTACATCTAAATTACAAAAACATTGATTTAAAATAAATAACTAATCCGTTAAAATTTTGAGGTAAATAAACTGCTGGTTTTATTAAGAAAAAAAAAGAAGATGATAATCATCATCTGCTCGAGTATTACCAAGAGAAGTTTTACATAATATGAAGATCTCCATAATTTCAAGATCTTTGAACTTGTTTTTTAAAATGGCAAGTGGTTTGTTTTTTTAATTTTTTTTCTCATCTACCCTGTAAAAAATAATTAAAGGTATATTGCATTGCTATACGACGTGTCTCGGTATTTATACATCCAACATTCATGTATTTAGTTATGATGTGTTATGTCTTATCGTTTGTGGTTTGAAGTCTGTATTTTCGGTACATTTCACATATGTCTTATTTGTCAGTATAGTCGAGTTAATTTCCATTTTCCATGGATAAAGTATTGTGTTAGTCCAAATAATTATGACGTCGTCACAGCAATATTTCAAAATAGCCTTTCAAGACCGTCATAATCATGATAATTATTTGGACTAGTATTGTGAAAATAATTGTGAATTTTTGTAGCTCGTTCCATATAATTGTATGAATTTCAAGATTATATATACGTCACAAAAATACGTCACTTTTTGTGGTGTCCTGTGGTGTCGTTAATTCATGGTAGATGTCCGTTGTTATTCTGCGGTTTACATGTTGTAATGTACTTTTATGTTATTTATTTATGCATTTTTCTGTGCTGAGTGTTCTTGCGTTTGTTTGTACTGTATTCCTGTCACATAGTGTTGTCATTTTAGCGATATATTTTTAACATTGCCATATAAGCGGGAGGTTTGGCTAGCCATAAAACCAGGTTCAACCCACCATTTTTTCTTAAAATGTCCTGTACCAAGTCAGGAATATGGCAGTTGTTATCAAATAGTCCGTTTTTATGTATGTTGGTGTTTGTTTTTGTTGCAGTTCAGTGTTTCTGTTATTCCGTTATTTCAATTGACTTAGATATATAAAGTACACCAAGTCTTTAATAGATATGCATGAAATACTTGCCACTGGACTTTACACAAACGTATTGAATAGTCAATTAAGCAATTAGTCAGAAAAAAGGTCCACATTTTGTGTTTTGCTCGGTTGCTAGTGCTTATAATAGTTACAAACCCAAGAAATTAGTTCATGCTCCCTGTTAGTTAACCTTTAGGACACTGCCACATAAGTATAAATTTTTATCATCCTTGGAGAATAAATACTAATTTTTCACAAATGCTCTTTGCCAATTATAAGGTTGAATTTCTCATTTGGTGTAGTTTTGATTTCGTGTTGGATCTGTTCGACATCTTTCATTTGTCTATAAAAAATAACAGTTACATTTTCTTCTTTTATATTGAATGGAAAATCTACTCCAATCTTGATCGGAAATAATTTTGTGTACTTAAAAAATTATAACAAAAATACCGAACTCAAAGAGATGTTCAAAAAGGGAGAAGTACTGAAAACTGACAAAATCAAACGTTGGTCTTTATCAACCAATGGAAAACAAATGTCGTATTCCTGTCTTGGTTCAGGCATTTTCAGAAAAACATATCGTTTTAATTTCCAGACAAAAATTATAACCGCATACACGACCAAAGACAGTCTTGGTTATGTTCTGCCTAGACAATTATTAAAATCCCCTATGTGATTTTTTGTTTAGATTTGATAAAACTGATGACTGGAAAACGTCCCCCCCCCGCCCCCCCCCCCCCCCCCCCCCCCCCCCCCCCCCCCCAAGATGTGCTTTCTGATGCAGATTGGTTAGAATACATATAGGACGGAAATATTGTTGTTGCCTCGTTGATATATATGTCATTCCTCCCAAGTACAAAATGTATCACACTGACAAAACATTCAAATTAAAATTCTGCAAAATCGTCCGTTACTTATAATTAATGCTTAGTATTGTCTAAACAAAATTGCAACAGAGGTCATTTTGCAACCATTTTTTAGCGTCCATAATTGACATACAATGGGCTTATGGAACGAATTTTCAGAGATTCAATAATCATTCTGACTTTATTTTTAAAAGTCAGTAATTACTTTCGCGTGGTGGGTTAAGCATGTACATGTATAGCAGGAGACGCTTTTCATGTCGAAACCCTTCGAAACCCTTGTCTCGATCCGTTTAAAACCTTTTGTTTGAAACACTACTGTTTATGAAAGATTGAACTCAATTTCTAAAACCGTATCATGGAAAAACGATTATGTATTATATGTACTACTTTCCAGTATGCTCTTTTTTTACCGGACACGATTAGGTGGTGTTACATCTTACAATGTCTATCCAAATTAATTTTGCAAAGAATTCCACTCAAGCCGGTGCTAGGGGCCGTCTTAAACTTGCAGTGAGGTGAGAGTTGTTTTGCTCCGTGTTGAAGCCTCACTGTGACTTTGAGATGAAGAACAACAATAAAAGCGCTGTTCCTTTGCTTTTTGCGTGTATTTTTACTGTGCATGTACTGATTTTGTGTCATGGATGGATACCCCATATTTCTATTAAACACGTACACAATATATATAATCTTATATCATTATCTACATGTAATATGGTAGTACATGTATCAAATAGCCACATTACTTATACACGTGACATCTACGTTTTGACTTCAGTCTTTCTGACAAAAGCCGGTAGATATCTCCGGTCACTCTAGATTCCTCCACCAATAAAAAGGACTTGCAGCCATATATAGCCAGTGGTGTTGACTGTGGCGTTAAGCACCAACAATCAATCAATCTATCATTTCTCATTTTCAACTTACTCGGAGGCAAACACTTTAAAAGACATAATCTCAGACTAAGTAAAACACATACAAATAAGTCAGTAAGTTTATCTTTTAAAAAAATTATTTTGATAATGAAATAAATAAATATTTTGGATATCAGTCAAGTAGAAACAAATATTTGAATTGAGATCGACTTTTAAACTTCAGATTATAATTATATACTTGATTAAAAATGATAATTGAATTTCACTGCAGTGTGAAAAGGCGATGAATGCATTTTTTTATGAATGCATTATTGCGTTAAATTGATTTTTTCGCAAATTCTTTTCTTAAAAAAAAATCAAGTGCCGTATAGGTGGATGCTTTTATATTGAGGAGGATGGGCAAATCCTATTTCAATACATTGTATTTGATTATATTGAAAGTATCTAATGGAATTTTCTTATATATAAGAGAGTAACTGTTATACTTTCATGTTATATTATACTTCACAGGTGGTATATATCTACTAATATACAACATACACATATTACATAGATAGGAATATAAACCACCCATGGTCGTAGCTTTTGTAGTTAGTGTTGTCATACTTTTTATAGATAAATTATGAATAAATTTGCTTTTCCCACGTCCGATATTCGATATGATTTGAAAAAGAAAAATGACACAAGTGCATTTACACATATTTTACAATATAATACTTGCACAATACATAGAAAATGAATAGATATTAAGTCCGTGTGAACTGTTTCCAAGATTCAATATTCTAAATCCAACTAAATCTATTAACTTCTTAACGAAAGAGTCGAGTTATTTTAATATCACAGAATCTAATATTAAAAATTGATATAATGATACTTTGACATACTTTGACATTTTCTTACAACGTGATTAATGTTTGCTTATCCCAAGTTTCAATTGTATGTCTAAGAAACTAACTGTAACTGGGCTATACAATGACAAAGAGAGACAAAAGGTAACAAAGGGACACATTTACTCATAAGTCGAAAATAAACTGACAATGCCACTGCAAGAAAAAAAAAAATAAAAAAAGACGAACAAACAAAAAAACAGTACACAAAACACAACATTGAAAACTAAAGACTAACTAAAGTAACACGAACCCCACCAAAAACCGGGCGTGATCTCAGGTGCTCCTGAAGACGGACGACATAAAAGATAATGCAGTGGTGACATGTTCTTCCTCACGAATATTATAGGCATGGCAAAGCTTATACGAGGAACGCATTTATATCTAGATTTTAAAATATATGATAACCTATTTCATCGCCCAGTTGTTTTGACCTTTAAAAGGATGTTTGCTACTCTGTTTCAAAATAACAAGCTTTGTATAAGACTGTTATAAATTGACAGCATATAGATAAAGGAACTAAAAAAGCAAAAACAAATGAAGGGTCTGTGTGCTGGTTTTCCAGATATAAGCTATTGAACATTTGGCGGGAAAAAATTCTCTATAGATTTTTCATACAGTTAACATTGGCACCTTTTTCTTTCAAAAACTATGAAAAAATAACAAGGATTCGATAAGATTTTCAAATATGGCCTTTTAAAATATATGTAATTAAATTATGAATAGAAAAGTAGGAGTTAGCGGGCAAAATATTTATTAGCACTACATGGATAAAACCAGAGGATTTCGAATATCTGACAAAAATTCAAAAACAAGGGGAGCGAGTAGCAGTCAGTTAGATCATTACAAAGATTCCTTGTTTCGATTTGAAAACCGAAAAATCATTTATTCAGGCTCAATTTGTGTAAGTGGTAGTATTGGACCAACATTTATTTCCACAATCTATGAGTTATTTAAGCATTTTTTTATATTTCAGGTTTGGTGACACCTTTAATTGCAGAGAAGGTCCTTGGTTCGTCTGGTGGAATACTCATTCTGACCATGGGTGCCATGGCTCTAATGTCGACAGGGTCAGGAGAGGTCATGGCGATATCCTCCATCATCGTCTATGACATTTATCAAACATATATACGTCCGTTCAGGTGTGTTGAATGAGTTCTTTTTGAATAGGAAGAACCAATGGAATTTAACGAGAATAAATTCAAGAATATATCTTTTAGCATAGATGACAAATACTGACGCTATCCCCACTTTTTGTGCAAATATAGTAAATCCAATATTTCGCAACGGCACACACACAATCATGTATTTGACTAAAAACAAAACAACACTAAACGTGCATTCCTGTGTTGACTTAATTATGATGATAATCTCGTTTGAATTCATCGCAATATCCCTGCCTATTAAACAATGAGAACATAAGTTAGATAAACAAGCTATTTAGACAATTATCTCAATATGGTATCTATGTTAAATTGCAGGTTTGGAGACACTTTCTGTGCATTACAATTGAATTGACACAGCTTAGTATTATTTCCTTATAACGATGCTTAGGGATAAGGCAAACAAATTTATACTTTGACAGTTCCTCCGACTCTAACATACACATTCATAGGTCGAGTGTTTATTGTTAGTTATCGCTAGTCCGCCATTCCCCCAAATTATAACATGACCCTTAACAATATTAAAAGTGTTATGTTTTATTTGAAATCATATAATTTAGTTTTAAGATTTGTATTGTCTTAGTATAGATTAGATAAATGCCGATACACTCATATTATTGTCTAAACTATTTTTAGCCAGACAAATTGCATAGCTAGCTAGACATGTACATTTAGAGTTATCTCTCTTTGAATAAAATTTTCAAATAAATACCTTTTTGACAAATTTATATTTTAGAAAAGACTTAAAGAGAACGGATTGTGTTTTGTGCGGGAAGCTAAAGAAACAGACAGTTGCTGCCACTTATGCAAATGACCAGGACCGGGAAATTTTGTGTCACTGTCGAAGTGTCAACAAGTGTCATAATTGCTTAGAGGATATACAAAGACGACACAGACCGAACTTGTTTGGTATCAAACCACCGTATATGTGTCCAATACACGGACAGTATCGTCAATACCAAGATTATCTTATCACTTTTAAGAACTGGTGTATCATCTGGGTTACATTGGCGATTATTCCGCTGGGTTTGATAATTTTTGAGTCCGGTATCGACCTTAACTGGATATTTTACGTAGGAGCCATTATAACGATTCCATGTTTTCCACCAGTGATGCTTTCTATTATATGGGTAAAAGCAACCTCAAAAGGCCTCATGGTCGGTAAGTTGACTTAGCTATTTATCTGTTTCCAAGTAAATACAAAATTTATGGAGCAATTTCTGTCGATGACAATTTTGCTCATTTTACTTTTGGCGCGGCTGCATTTAAATGTGATCATGATAACTCGCCATTTCATATTGGTATTTAGTATTTTTTTCAAAAGAGCACTTTTTGTTTGGATGTTAATGTCCCAACAAATGGACATTCAACCAATGACGTAACGCTTTTTTCATTGTGGAATACGAACAATCAAATAACCAACATTTTTTTTCGATTTTGAATCGGTGACTTTATAACTACATTTTCAAAGTACCATCAGCATTTTAAGGCCAACAGCTTATTTTAAATATCTTAATGCTTATTGTCGCTTCTTTTTGCTAATTAGTGAGACGATATATTGAGTGGTATCGGAAAACGACAACAATTAGATATATATGAATGCTCTTTGTCACAGCTTCTAAATAACACTAATGTGTTTTTACATACACATAAATCTAAAGTTGTTTCTTTGTGATAATGATACCGATAAAACATTCCTGAACAATCTCGGGGAACACATGGACTTAATTTGATACAGATTGAAATGAATTATTTCATAAGACCAGAAACATGTCGTTGGTTACAACAAGGTATATAATGGCAGCCGACAGAGGAAAGCGCTTCAAACCTAATGAATGTGTTGTTTAATCATTATAATTTTTTCATTATTTTATCTTTTTTATCCTCAATACATGTATGTACTTGAAGTAAATTGCCTGGTAATTTCGAATTTAAGATTTGCTTCGATTAATGTTTGAGGCGATCGACTGTGATATTCAACGAATTGTATTATGTCTTTTTATCTTTTCAGGTGCAGTCACCGGGTTTTTTTGTGGATCAGCTGCAACACTTACAGCCGCTAGTATGTACCCGAATGGATTGAATGATTTTCTTTTAAATACTGTGAGAGATTACAGTATTTTAGCTGGAACATGCTTTAGTTTTGGCGTTAGCCTGACTGGATGTTTGATTATCTCCCTTTTCACACATAAGATTAAAAATAAACATGACGAAGATATGGAATGGCAGAAAATGTACAACATAGATAATCCTCTTAATCCTTGGGAGCTTAATTTTAAAGAGGAGCTAGAAGGACTCCATTTTGATACGAAACCAACATTTCAGCAGATGTCTACTACCTTTAGAAAAGCAAAAATTACAGCATACGTAGGGGGATTTTGCAGTATATTTTTATTCGCCATTTTGATACCAGGGATAATGGCTACCTTCACCGTTATGAGTGAAACCCAATTTAAAGTATGGGTGTGGTTTACACAAGGTTGGGCAGTAGTAATGGCGGTTATAGTTATCGTTGCACCTCCATTTGAAGAAATTCGGAGAATTGTTAAACAGTACCGCAAAAACAAAGAAAGGAGGCAAGAGTCGAATGGAAATATCAATGATAAAATTGTAATGAACGAAGTTATTTTTAAGGACAAGTCACATACCGATAGTAATAGTGTCCCAACTAAGGTTTAATGATAATCCGTCATTATATGGAAAGAAGGTGACATCCTACAAATTTGTTTTCTCCCCACGTTCAAGTAGGTCGTTAACACATAATCGTAATGATTTATATAGAATGCACTTATATCAGCGATTTTTGGATAGACGATCCAAATCAATAAGTATACGAGAAAAAAATGTATTATAACAAAAATAAACCATGCATTTTGTTCATGTAAACAATGAATCAAACTGTCCTTTTTTGTAGCAATCGTAATAAATGCACTTTTTAGTGTAATGATTTGCTGAGTGTTTGTAACTAGAAAACATATGACTATATAATGACAATACTAATGAAAATAATAGTTTGTAGAAATTCAAATATTAATATATAATTAAATTTTTGTTGTGGTTTTACTTAAATGAACTTCAAAGCTGTTGATTTTTTCGTATTAAATTAACATTGAAATTCAAAGTGATTATCATTATCCTGATAAGAGAGAACAATTTGTATCCCTCGATCACGCACTTTAATACCGTACTTTCTAAAATACATTATAAAAAAATAATCTATGTAGCAAGTGCATTTTATAGAAAAAAGGAAACAAACCAGCAGCTCTAACTAGTCTACTAGCAGACTGTAATCGACCTTGAATCAGAAATACATGTATATGTATATTTTCCTAAGGAGGGACACAGATTTGAATTGAAAATAAAGAGCTAGTGGAAAGAGCAAATGTATTTGTGTGTAATACATGTATTCTATATTGTTTTTCATATCTTTTAATTCTTTTAAATATTTTGTTAAGCTAAACAATGTTCATAGTTATACTTTTTATATAAATTGGTTAAACATATTTATCAATGTGTACTTCTCACGCTTAGTATGTATTGGGCAACATCTCATTATGTCCGGTTTCGAACCAGATTACCATTGGCAGAGGGAAACATCTTTTGGTAAACGTGTGTAATAATAGAATCAACATTGGTAATTGGCAAATAGATTTGGTATTTGTATATGCTTTTCATGTTTATTTCAATCAAATTATCCGTTAGCTATCTACCTCGATTAATTTTTTGAATATAAGATTATTTACATTGTATAAACAAGGAAGGTGTTGTAGCATTTGTTCATTTTTTGTATTTCTTACTCGCAAATTATAACAAACGTATATAACAATGTACTATGGTTTTGAGAAATATATATAAATAATTAATTATAAGTGTTCGAACGGCATATTTTGAAGTTAATAAAACATTCTGGCATTTTGGTTTTAAAAGAAAAGAGTCCAATTAATACATGTACAGATTTTCATTGCATCAAAACGTATTTTAACACACATACATTATATTTTTTATCTGACAAACTATACAGAAGAAGAAGAAGAAGAAGAATAAGAATATTTATTGAAAGCAATTAAAGGGACCGTTTCCGAGCATATACATATAGATTCTACCACTGCATCGAGTGTGATACGATATTTATCCACTCGAGACAGTTAAATTTTCAAATTTAAAACGCGAGGCTCGCCGAGCGTTTTAAATATTTAAAATTTAACTGTCGAGAGTGGATAAATATCGTATTACACGAGATTTGGTGGTGGAATCTGTTTCTCTAATGATTTTCAAACTATATGCAGGCAAACTTATTCCTTCTTTTTGAATTATCTGCAAAAAGATGTGTTCTTTCTATGTGACTTCATCAGGCATGGTCGCCTTTTTTCATGCCGTCACAATAGGAAATTCAGAGGAAAGCAAGAAAATTCGACGTCATAATCAGATTTTAACCAATGAAGAACTGAGATCAAACGAACCACACGTTGATTAAATTTTTTTTATACAATTGGTGCAGAAAGGGATAAATTGACGAAGAATTAGAGAAATATATATATAGTATTAATTGTACATGATATTACGTCTATCATATTTCACTGTTAGCAAAGTCCTGCTCTTTCACTATTATTTTTAAAAATGTTGAAATATGTATAAAAGTACTGGGATCCTCTCAAAAATGTTTACTTGATAAATCTGTCCAGAGATATGCAACATGAATGTAAGAAACTGAAAGTCCATAAAAGGATGCTGCGTTGTTGTGACTTTCAGTAAAGGCTGGGAAACGTTTTATTATTGACTTTGCTTGGAGACAATTTCTTTGATATTTGATTATTTATCTGGTTTGGAGCACAATGTAGACGATTTTCAATTCTTAAAGAAACAATCTATGCATGTTCTTGTAAGCGTCAGTCCATCAATAACAGATATTACACTGAATTTAGAAATAGGATTGAGAATGTATTTCCTCAATGACTTTGACCTTTAGTCATATGTATCTAACCAACTATTTGTATGTACTATAGAAGCATTTTTAGCATAAAGTCCAGTAGTGTTATGAATGAGTTAAACATATTTTATTGTTCATTCAACATTTGGTCATAAGAATTTGATAGTTATTCATTTTTCTCAAAAGTTATTCATGTGTATTCAAGTTTTCATTTGTTTTATTTGTCAATGTACTAGAAAAAAACTTTTATATGCATGTGTTTAAAGAATTCAATTTCGTATTTTGTATTTTGTAGCAGAATGCTCCTGAAAATTTAACCTTTTAATATGTACAAAAATAGACAAATAATGTTCTCTTATCAATACCAGTCCAAATGTATGTACAAATATATCCATAGTTTGTAGTTTTGTAAACATGAATGTAAGAATAGAATTTGTTACAGAAACACAATAAAACTAGATTTACATTGTTGTTTTTATGTAGGTAGGAAGCTGTCTAAAGTAGTACATCCAATATCTTTTGTGTCACATCTAATCACTGTGTTGCATTCTAGTTAGTGTGGCATTAATAATTTGATAAAAAATTTTGACCTACAATTTTGCATGGAATTAAACTCATTTGTATTTACTGCAATTGATTGGTTTAATGCATTAGCCTTTCTATGCTTTTTTTGTTTGTAACTTTTTTTTCTTTAATTCAGAAGGAGTTTGGTTATGTCTGTCTTTTGGTTGCTGTCTCATTGACGCTTAACTTCAGTCTTTTGGTTGCTGTCTCATTGACGCATTACTTCAGTTGTTTGGTGCTGTCTCATTGACTCTCAACTTCAGTCTTTTGGTTGCTGTCTCATTGACGCTTAACTTCAGTCTTTTGGTTGCTGTCTCATTGATGCTTAACTTCAGTCTTTTGGCTGCTGTCTCATTGACGCTTAACTTCAGTCTTTTGGTTGCTGTCTCATTGACACTTAACTTCAGTCTTTTGGTTGCTGTCTCATTGACGCTTAACTTCAGTCTATTGGTTGCTGTCTAATTGACGCTTAACTTCAGTCTTTTGGTTGCTGTCTCATTGACATTTAACTTTAGGTAACTGTTAGTAAGATATTAGCCTTCGTAAAAACGAACATGGCATTACCTTTATAATTTCACCTACACGTAATGTTTTACCTGTTTAATGTTATATCTGACCCGAATTTATTGAAGACGCTCATCCGGTTTGCATTTGAAAAAAAACCCAAACAAATACTTCAGCTTTTACTTTTAAAACCAAAATAAGGAATCCCGGTAAATTGATTGTTAAGTTTAACAAATTATCAAATGGAAAATACGAAGTATGATATTTGTATGCTGAAAATCTGCTTATCATAACTTGTCTTGTTCAGGGAAGCAGAATGCACTATTTCTCGAAAGTTCTACAAAGCCGACGTAATAACGTCACCAATTTTCATGGCATCAATTCACAATGGATGCTATGAAAACGTACGCGCAAGAGCAGACTATGTATGACTGATTTTAAATGTATGATTTGATGTTGTTTTCTGTCAGTTTCATCAGAATGGAGATAACAATATTGTATTTGAATCTCCGACAGCATCAATTGGTGATTTGATGGTCGCAAATACCCGTTTACTGTGACCGCTAACGCGTCGCTATTAAACTAAATTTGCGACCATCAAATCACCAATTGATGCCGTTAGAATTTAAACTACAATACAGTTATCTTCTAATTTTATATTGCAGATGAACACATATATATTACATTGGTTTTTGCAAAAACAACAATTCCAGCCCTGCCCTAAATCTCTTCGTTAATGAGTACCATAGCATACGATGAATCGTAACATTTAATTTCATCCTGCAATCGACCTTTCTTCTATTCAAATACAGGTTTACAGATAACACGAAATTACTGTAACTGTTGACATCACAATTCAATTTGGGGTCCTCATTTCGGTCCGCGTTTACGTCATTTCGATTCCATTTTAAAAACAAATTCAACGATTGGAATGAAAAAAAACCCCGTATAATGAGAAATTGCAAGATAAAACAATATTCGTACAGTGTATACGTAGGAAGATATACTATTTATTTGAAGAGCTTTAGAAACAGAGAGAAACTATGTAAGAGCAACATTATAGGTGTCACAAGTCAAGAACAAAAGTTTTAACAACCTTCGGACTTAATCAATAGTCTTTATGTTCGGTTTTGTGAACTGCACATTGACTACCCTCATTCATTTGATGATTTCTAATTATCTATTGGCAACTTCTAAATATTTGTGGTATATAAAAAAATTATTTTAAAACCTTTGAAACTGATCAAACATCAGTGGTGAAAAGCTGTTTTAATAAAGAATATTCAAAAGATTCAGCAGGTGTATGCAAACATCAATATTTTGATCATTTTGTTGTTGTTCACAGTACGAGTACCGAAGTGAAAATGTATCGTCATACTAAATACTTATCAAAGGTGGTACTTGTGAGACGAGATATAACACCAAAAGAAGTAAACATTGAATAACAAAAAATGCATTAAGAATTGTGTCACAAGATCAACATCCCCGATTCCATCCCTGCTCTAGATCATAAGATATATGAGTCCATTGGACTACGATGAATCGTAAAATTTATTTATTCTGCAATCGAATTTTTTCTAATATACAAATACAGGTGTACAGACAACACGAAGTCTCCTGGTAACCTGCTCCTTTCTAGCGAACGGTTAAGTTCAAATTACTTTTTACATAACAGTTCAATATGGGCCCTTATTGCGGTCTGCTTTCAAGTCATTTCGATTTCATTCAAAAACAAATTCAACGATTGGGATGGATAAAACTATACATTCAATGTTAAATTGCAAGATAAAAACAACATGTGTAGTGCAGAAACATATACACATTTATTTGAAGAGCAAAAAAAATGTAAAAAGCAACATTATCGGTAACACAAGTCAAACACAAAAGTTATTATCAACCGTCGGACTAATTCTATACTCTTTATGTTCGGTTTTGTAAACTGAAGATCTACCCGTATTCATTTGATGATTTCTAATTACCTCTTGGCATCTTTTAATTATTTGTGGTATATATATAATTTATTTAAAAATCTTTGTAAACTGAATAAACATCAATGCGGAAGAAATGATAAACTAAAGAATGTTTCAAAATCATGTGAAAATCTCAGCAGGTGTATGCAAACATCAATATTTAAATTCAATTGATAATGTTAAATACAAACGATCGATTTTGGAACACTTCACCTTTTCATATCTAATGTCGTTTTAGATTAAATAGGCTTAGCTCAATACGAAAACAAATGACACTTAATAGATTCACAAAAAATACAGAAGTGCTTAAATTTATATTAAACGTTTCGAGGAGTTAATTCCCACGATATTCATGTAATAGTATGTATAATAAAAATGTCAATACTTTAGACGCATCGCGTATAGTTATCAAATTGTTTGTTTCTCTTTGTGTACTTACATAAATTATATGTACAATTACAAAGAATGAGAACATGGAGCTTATAAATGCATTTGTCTTCGTCATATGATCTCTGGTTGAAAGTTGTCTCATTGGCAATCATACAACCTCCCTTTATGCTTATATTCTATACATTATCATTAGTCTTAAAAAAGATTAAATCGAGATTCTTGTCTCAACTGGTTGATAGATGTTTACTTGCTGCTTAACGTCCATCGGAAATTATTTCATACACATTCAGGAGAAAAGCAAATCAACTATTAGTACAATAGGTAGGTTCTACAAGGTGTGATAAAGAAATAGAAATTGGACTACCGCTAGAAAAATATTTGAATGGGGGCATAAGTTGATCCTTTAAGTAGGCAGGCGAGAGCCGCCTGATGCGTTGTAGCAAGGATTCTTTAGCGTACAGAGAGTGTGGCAATATACCTGCACGAAGCATCTGATTTAACGTCACGATTCTGACCAAACGTGTCTGCGAGATTGTTCATCCTGCACAGTAAAAATGTAAACCCCATGTTAGCGATGACCATTTTTTACTGCCGGAACAAGGAAAGTTCAGGAATGGCGATTAAATAAAATTGAGAATGGAAATGGGGAATGTGTCAAAGAGACAACAACCCGACCATAGAACAGACAACAGCAGAAGGTCACCAACAGGTCTTCAATGCAGCGAGAAATTCCCGCACCCGGAGGCGTCCTTCAGCTGGCCCCTAAACAAATATATATACTAGTTCAGTGATAATGAACGCCATACTAAACTCCAAATTGTACACAAGAAACAAAAATTAAAAATAATACAAGACTGACAAAGGCTAGAGGCTCCTGACTTGGGACAGGCGCAAAAATGCGGCGAGGTTAATCATGTTAATGAGATCTCAACCCTCCCCCTATACCTCTAGCCAATGTAGAAAAGTAAACGCATAACAATACGCACATTAAAATTCAGTTCAAGAGAAGTCCGAGTCTGATGTCAGAATGTGTAACCAAAGAAAATAAACAAAATGACAATAATACATAAATAACAACAGACTACTAGCAGTTAACTGACATGCCAGCTCCAGACTTCAATTAAACTGATTGAAAGATTATGTCTTCATCATAAGAATATCAGGCACAATCCTTCCCGTTTGGGGTTTAGTATCATACCATCATAACATATATGAGAAGAACATAACCCGTGTCATGCCAACAACTGGTTTTTAAATAAATGTGTTTAGTGTCGATGCAAAGACCCTATAAGTGAATCAATATTAACGCCAAAATATGCAATCTTTAATGACCTGACAACAGTATCGTAACTATATCCCTTCTTAATACGTCTATTTAAAGGTTTTGTTAGCTTCAGAGGTGTATACTGACATTTTTGTGCTTTATAAAGAATATTTCCATAAAAAATTGGATGTGAAATACCTGAACGTATAAGAAGTCTGCATGTTGAGCTATATTTACGAATGATGTCCTTATACCGATGATAAAATTTAGTAAATGTTTTGACTAGTTTGTGATATCGAAAACCCTGGTGTAATAATTTTTCAGTAATACATAAATTTCTCTCGTTAAAATCTAAAACATTGTTACATACACGAGCGAATCGTACAAGTTGAGATATATAAACATCGTAAGATGGTGACAAGGGAACGTCACCATCTAAAAATGGATAATTAACGATAGGAAATGAAAAATCATCTCTTTTATCATATATTTTAGTATTAAGCTTTCCGTTAATGATATAGATATCAAGATCGAGGAAAGGGCAGTGGTCATTGTTAGTATTAGCTTTATTTAAAGTAAGTTCAACAGAATAAATTTCTTTAGTATACATACTGAAGTCGTCATTATTGAGAGCCAAAATATCATCCAAATATCTAAAAGTATTATTAAATTTGTGTATCAGATGTTGTTTCGATGGGTCTTTGCTAATTTTTGTCATAAATTGTAACTCATAGCAATACAAAAAAGGTCCGCAATAAGTGGTGCACAGTTAGT